GAGAGAGAGAGAGAGAGAGCAAGGGCAAAATGCTGCGCGTTCAACTCCAGAAAAGAAACAGATCTGCCCCTGCCCAAGATTGCCAGACCCGTCGGAGAGACAGCGCATGGACTTGTCACAGTAGATCGACTTCTGCACGGCAGCTCCTACACCACCATACCACCACCCTCCAACTGGCGACGGAGTGGCAGCTTGGAAGTGCGGGCAGCATCTAATAACAGAGCCAACTTTCTTGGCGGCGCGTGGCTCATCGTGTCCTCTGCGGTGCTCAGAAAAGTGAAAGACGGCTCTGGCGATCTCCGACTCGGCCAACTCGAACCAGCTGGAAACGTCACAGAACTTGGCGTCGGGGCGTCGTCTTCGCCACCTGGACTCGCCAAACCAACGGCGCGCCCTGCACGGGGCGCACGGGGGGGGGGCTGCCGAGATCGCGAAAGCATTGACCCACATATCTTTCGCATAGGTAGCCACCTTGGGCTTCTTATGCGCCTGCGCGTGAAATTAATTGACAGGGCGGGTCTTCAACCTCTCAAGGGCGGCAGGCTTGCACTCTCCAGCTGGGCGCTTGCGAAGCTTCGCCAACTCGCGAAGCTCAGGCTCGGCCAGTTGACCATCATCAGCGTCGCCAGGGGCTGGGCCATGCTCACCATCATGCTGACCAGCGCCTGCACAGTCATCTTCACCACCCGCGGGCACGCCTCCAGCACCTCCACCACCTGCTGCACCTGCAGCGCCAGCCGACGACAAGTCTGCCGAGATAGGCGAAGCAGGATGTGGGAGGTTGTGTGCAGCCTTCTGAGCCGTACGCAAATTGCACCAGTCACTGACAGGTTACCGTCATGCACTCTGCGAGCTTACGAAGTGCATCCTCATGCATGGTATGCAGCGTCCCAAGAACCTCACAAGTTGGACGATGTCCTTGACCAGGTTGGGCGGCTTGCGCAGGTGCGTCAGCACTTGCACGCTTATACTGATCTCCGCGAGGCGGCTCTGAATCAGCAGGACGAAAGACAGCAGCTGCTTTCTGCTTCTGCCTCCTGAAAGTTTCCCCATCGGAGATATCCTTCTTCTCCTTCGCAGAGTTGTGGGCGGCTTGGGCCTCCCCGAGATGGGTGCAAGCATCGGCGAAGGCCACATCCGCCAACTTGGCCTTGTCACGCACCTTGCTGATACCCTCCTGCCGCTCGGACCGCCGCCGCCGCTGCCCGGCCACTCGCTCAGCCTTAGCGGTCTCGTCCACACCTTTAGCCAAAACTGTACGCCCACCTGCCACCGCAGCATCCATACTCTGACTGGCCGCGGACTCGCGGTATCCGTGCTCTGCCACGGGCAACAAGCATCTTGAGCCAAAATGGTTACGGCACACCAGAGGAGAGGAGGGATTAGAGAGACATGAAAACAAACACAAAATGAATACGAGGAGGACTAGGAGGAGAAGGACGACGAGAAGAGAGAAAGGAGGAGGAGGGAGAAGATAAGAGGAGAAGATGAGAAGCGGAGGACAAGGGCGCAGAGAGAGAGAGAGAGGCGGAGGATGAGTTCTATCCCAGCGCCCCAGCTAGACAAGCGCGCTCCACTACTCACAAAGTAACTACTCGCAAATGGCCTGCATCCTCCATGGGGGATTTCCCGAAACACTACACCGATGCAGACATGTGCTCCTCGACTTGTTTGCGATTGGGCACTTTGCGAGCAGTGGAACGCGCTCGGTGACTGACTGCACGATGCCGTGGATTCACTTCGCTCGGGAGCTCCCGAACGAAGCGAACCCCACCCTCCCCCGCAGAACCCGTAGGGGGCAGGGGTAGGGTTCGCGTGTGGCCCCCTAGATGTCGCTCCTTGCCCGCAGACGGCGGCGCGGCGCGGCCGGCCGGAACCTGCCCTGAAGGCGGGGCTGCTGGCCACCGCCGCCCCGCCGGCGTCTGCCACCGACAACCTCGGCCGGGCCGATGCGCCCCGCGCGGAGCGGGGGCCGGCCGAGGACGATCGCCGGCGGTCATCGTCGCCCCAGCCGTCCCTCCTCCATCGTCCCTGCTCCCGCCTGCCTCCTCACCTACCTCCTCTCCTCCCTCCTCGCTCCCCCTTCTCCTACCTCTCATCCGTCCTCCCTCCTCCCCTCCCCCTCCCCCTCCTCTCTCCCACCTCCTGATTCCCCGCTCTCACCCTCCCTCCCCCTCATCCTCCTCTTCCTCCTCCTCCTCATCATCCTCCTCCTCCTTCTCCTCCTCCTTCTCCTCCTCTTCCTCCTCCTCCTCCTCCTCCTCCTGCTCCTCTTGCTCCTCCTCCTCCTTCTCCTCCCTCCTCCTCCTCCTCCCTCCTCCTCTCCTCCTCCTCCTACCTACTCCTCCTCCTCATCTCAAATCCTCCTCCTCCTCCTCCTCCTCCTCCTCCTCCTCCTCCTCCTCCTCCTCCTCCTCCTCCTCCTCCTCCTCCTCCTCCTTGTCCTCGTCCTCCTCCTCCTCCTCTGGAGCCGTTGGAGCCTCGGAGCGCGTGTCCCGCAGCGCAAGACACACACACACACACAAACAAATTAAATTAGTGGGCGGCGAATGGCACTCCAACCTCCTTCTTGCTGGTTGGGTCCACACCGTTGCGCAGCAACTTGGGTGAGCGCTCCGCACCACTGGTTGGCCGTTGATTGCATCGCAGAGCCAAGTCCTTGACCTGCTTCCGCGCGTGGCAACCACAAGCCATGCAGAAGAACAGCTCACCGTTGACACTCCACATTCTGTGGGTGTCGTGACACCTGGCCAGGACACGAGGCTTGCCTGGACAAGGGTCCTGCACGACAACGTTTCTCTTCCTGGAGGCCCTGCCGCACACTCTACACCCCCAGACCCCATATTTAAGGTAGAGGAGGTGATCATTATCAGACCTATCTATCTTGAGAGTGACCACAGGCTGGGCCGCCCCAAGAGCTACAGGCTTATACTTACTCTTCTTGGGAATTCTATCCACATCAGGAAAACCGCTTTCGCTCAGTTTGCTCAAGGTTCCTCCGAGCAAACGAACAAACTGCCTACTTACCTGCACGGCTGTTGCAACACGCTGGTCTACATGGGCCACAGAAGGGTGCCCCATAGCTCCTAGCTTAGCATATTTGTCGGCAGCGGCATTCCCAGGAAACCACTCATCAGAATAACCATGGTTCCTATACCAGGACCTGGACCGATGGGAAGGCATCCAAACCAAGTCGACGTTTTCTCTCCCGGCGTCTTCGATTTTCCAGAAAATCTGCCTCCAGATCTCCCAGTGTGGCTGGGTCGGGCAACACTTTACCTCTGGGCCCTTCTCGAGGGCCAGCAGCAAGTTCTTGTGATCTGTCACGATCGTGGCTCTGGCGGGCATGAGGGTCAAGGCCATCAGGAACGCGTAGTGCTCGGCAAGTCCTGAGGACTGGACCAAGCCTGGAACGGGGCCGTAAGCGACTGCTTGGACCTCCTCCGTGCCTGGTCTGAGTGAGCATACCGACCACCCCGCCCTCGTCATCCAATCAATATCAGGATTTAGCCCAGACCCATCAATAAATATCAGTCCCCCTAGATGGCCTCCCCGAGGGTACCACCTCGTTTGGCTCTCACCGACCTGCAGCGGAGGGGAAAGATCATCACGCTTGCTATCCAAGCAGCCGAAGTCAACCATCTGGTTGTCGGGGAAATCTTTGCCTATGGAAATCAACTCGTTAAAACCCTGCTCGCGCCTCCAGCCAGCGAGCCCGTCACATCTCGTCCTCCTCCTCCTCCTCCTCCTCCTCCTCCTCCTCCTCCTCCTCCTCCTCCTCCCCCTTCTCCTCCTCCTCATCCTCCTCCTCATCATCCTCCTCAGTTGGTCGGTCGGTGAAGACGAGGCTCGATGCGCGTATGGAGAGACAGAGGTGGGAAGCGAGCAAGAACGGAGCAGCAGCGGCAGCAGCAGATCCACGAGTGGAACCACTGCCAGACGTCAAAGCACCGTCCTGCCAAAGGTAGGAGCCAGCAAACACACACACACACACGCACACACGCACGCACGCACGCACGCACGCACGCACGCACGCACGCACGCACACACACACACACACACACACACACACACACACACACACACACACACACACACACGCGCGCGCACGCACGCACGCACGCACGCACGCACGCACACACACACACACACACACACACACACAGGGGTACGATCATGAATTGCTCAGGAACTCGACACGGAGCATGGTGGAAAGAGAATATGGAAAGGCATAGACATTTCCCCAAATTCAAAACCCCCGCACTACAGCCAGAGGGGCCGTATCGGGGTCGTCGTGGAGCCTCTCGGGCCTTTTGTGGCTCTCTTGGAATCGGTTGAAGACGCTTCTGGGGCATATTATGGCACTCGGTCAATCGTGGGGGCTCGTTGGGCCTCCTGAGAGGACTGGGGGGGCTCCAGGAGAAGCGCGGGAACTTACGCAAAACGTAGCTCGAGTACCCCCGGGGGGGGGGGGGCCACGGAGCCCCCTGGGCCAGGCGTGCACGAGAGACCTGATGATACGCCCAGGCTTAGATATGCATATACATATATATATATATATATATATATATATGTATGTATGTATGTATATAGACACAGCGCGGGGCGTCTCGGAGCGTCTTGGTGGAGTCCGCGCGGGGCCTCTTGGGACCCTCGTGAGGACATCGTGGGGAGCCCTTGCCCCCTGGAGACGCTGTTGGGGCACCTTGGAGCACTGGCTTGCCTGGCCTGGCCACCTCATCCTGATCGCTACCGACACTTCCTTCACTTTCATTATGTTGATCGGATCCGAACCTGCAGGGGAGGAGGAGGGCGCCGCCTCGGCAGAGCTGTCCCGACTACGGCGATGGGCGCGCGGCGCCGTAGCGCTCACATGGGGATGTCGAGGACCCCGCGTTCAAGTACAAAGCACTGTTCGGCAGAGAGAGGCAATAGAGGATAGAAACCAGAATCGCAGCTTGCATCAAATTCCTGGAGGGGCGCGAGGCTAAGCGGAGGACTCCACGATCCTGAGCGCCTCGCCGAACTCGGGCGTCTGCCTCGGGGCCGCGGACGGCAGGTGGGCAGGAAGGGGCGGGAGCCGACGTGGCCAGAGACAGCGCCACCGCATGCGCAGGGGGCTCATCAGCCCCGCAGCACCTCGCGACTCGCGCTGCGGATGCGCACGACGGGGGCTGCGCGGCGATGCGTCTGCAGATGTGTGGCGAATGCCAAGAGCGAGTGCCGTGGCCTCTGCATCCTGCAAACGTGGGAGGGGGAGACGGATTGACGGGTTACGTTATGAGGGGAGGCCAGCTCAGGAGGGAGAACATGGAGCTGGGATCGGCAATACATCGCCGACAGATCGGCGACAGGCCCCCGACTGCAAAACCGCACGCTCCTGGGCAGGGCGGGTCTCGGGCGCGCATCGGCGATCAACGGGCGATTTGGGATCGATGCGCCCCCCCGCAAGCCGATCCCCCCATGCTACCCAGTAAGGGGGAGCAGGAGACGACCTGACCGTCGTGGTTGGCCCCGAGCTGCATGGCATCCACCCTCTGCCGCTGCAGCCATGAGGCCTCGCCCTGACCAGGGCGAGGAGCATACGGATAGTATCCAAAGACCTCCAAGCCCACCCAGTATATGTAAGATATGCCTACATGCAGATAAAGGTATACATATACCCATACCTATACATATCCAGAAGCATAGACATATACACATACAGATACATATACCTATACGTATACGTATACATGCACATACACATGCGCATGCACATGCACATGCACATGCACATGCACATGCACATCCACATGCACATACGTATACGCATACATATACATGTACGTATACAGTTGCGTAAACATATGCGTATACATATACATGTGCATAGTCATACATGTATACATATACATGTACAAATGCATACGCGTATATCTATACACATACACGCACACATCCACATCCACCTACATAGACATAGACGTAAACATGTACATACACATATACGTATACATGAACATATACAAATATATGTATACATATATATATACAAATACCTATACATCTGTATAAATATATGTATATGCCTATCCATATACATATGCATGTACATATCCATGTATATATATATATATATATATACATCGATGCAAGTACATGTACGTACTCATGTACATAAGCATATACACAAACAAACCAATGCACACATGCATATACATATACGTGTACATCTACATGTACACGTACACGTACATGAAAATATACGTATGCAGCTGTATAGACATGCACATACATGTACATGTACAAAATACAAATTATATACACCTACATTTACATATAACTATATATAGACACATACATATACATGTATACACATACATGTGCTGCGCACTTTTAGGGGGAGAAGGAGGAAAGCTAAGGGGAATGACAGCGCGACGACCTCCGCAACTGCCGCACTCGAGCAATGCACTTGCGTCAACATGAAACGGAGGAAAAACAGCGCCCTCCCAGCAGCCTCAAATCGAGGATAGGCCGGTACGCCCGAAATTGACGCGCAGCGGAAGGGCTCAACCTCGGTCCACGTCCGAACGTGCCGAAGGAGGACCGTCAGAGTTTCAACGTCGTTTCGGGGGCGGACGGGCGGCGGACGGGGGGAGAAGAGGAGGAAGAGAAGAGGGAGGAGCGGAATGCTGATACGAAACTTGCCCAAATTCGTATCATCTAGCTTCGCGCACTGCGTGGCGGAGAAATTAAATCGCACCACACTTGTGATGGCACCAATGCACTCGGCGGTCGTAGCCTGGACGGGGCAAATAGACCGACCCAGTGGCAACGAAATATCAAGGAGGGCTCTGTTAACGAAATTATCCCCCCCGAGCCCGGCTCAGAGGGCACGAAATTGCCACGAAACCTCTCCGGGAGGGGAGGCGAGGGGAGGACAAGAGGCGAGGAAGGAGGCGAGGGGAGAAAGGAAACGCACAAAATACTACAGTGCATCCGCCCTCGGCCTACGACGTCCACTCGCGGCTTATGTAACCCAGGGCCTGCTCAGCCTCGACACATGAAGTCAACATTATATGAAACAATACAATCACGAATGGAGCCATACGCGCCATGCAACAGTAGCCGCGCAGGGAAAGAAAGGGGCAGACGAGGGCGAGGGATAGACGTGGAGGAATGCATGCACAAACTGGCCGCGAAGCGTGCCAGCGTCGTTACGCCTAGCGCCAGACAAAATATGGCGAGCAGGCCCCTGGTGAAGATCATCACCCAAGCGTTGAATCCGACAACTCATTGTGACAATGAGCATGCACAGGGCAGGGGTCGAGGATCGCTCCGGCAGAGCGCCGTGCAGCGTAACGCCCTCCAGCCGGACACCGCCAGGGCGGACAAATCCTGCCCCCCCGCACCGAGTGGCGTCCAGACCGTTACGCTCCACATACAGATGCGGACAAAAAAGCGGAGGCTGATATCTCAATCGAAATCGGGCTGCTCTGTGCCACGACGTCCCTCCCAAACAAACTCCTTAAAGCCGCCGTCGAGCTCTGCTATGTCCAGGAGGCCGTACCGGCAGGCACTGTGGACGCGGTATAGGCATAGATGCCAATCGCCCACTGTTGCGTGTCCGTGTCGTTCAGGCGCCACCCGCCGAGGTTGAGGAACCGGTCTAAGGCCATGTCCCCTGCGGGCTGCGCCCAGCAGGCGTCGCAACACCGGGCAATGAGAGTCGCAGCACGGCGGCCCACACTCGCGGCTGACAGAGGCGGCAGGCGGCCAATGCGCCGCAGCGTATCGAGAGCATGGTCGAGACGAAGCCGAGGAAGGAAGTGAACCGCCCAGTGGTCGAGCCTTCTCTGGAGGAGTGCGTGCAGCCACGCTGCATAGACATATACATGCACACTAACATGTACCAATCCATAGGCATATACAGATACACATACATAAACATATACACACACGTGAATACATACATATACATATACATGTATATATACATAGACATACACATATACATACACATGTTCATAGATCTGTATATATATATGCGTGTGCACCTGTATAT